TCCTAAGACATTTATTTAGGGATGTTAGATTTGCAATTGAGCCCTACCTGTACCTCCCCACCTCACCCAAGAAAGACAAGTACAGACAGAAAGACAGAGAGAAGAAATGAACTGCATTATTCTGATTTTAGGCTCCACTCACTCTCGCATCGATCTCATTGATCACTTTTTTTTTTTTAAATCTCATAGGTCTCCTCTTACAAATTATCTCCTTATTACAGTGGTTCAGTTCAGAGCTGTCTACCATAGCTGGGTTTTAAACACCATCATACCAGCAAGGTTAAGCACACTTTAGGAATACACTCATTTTAGACAAGATTAGCTAATTGTGAGGCTGTTCACAGTGTTATCCATTCATTTCAAGAACATCCAGTATATGGAGTTTTCTCCTGGAGGGAGAAAGTCCGCAAAAGAATATCCAGATAACGCAGCACTTTTTGGCTGTTGAGAAAGGCTTAAGGCCAAGTACTACTCTATTACTTCCATATAGCTACTGTTTTCAGTAGGAACAAACACACAAAGTTACAACAGAACTTAACTCTTTGCTCTTCTGTTGACAGATTCTCTCCAGACTCGTGTCACTGATGCTAGCCAGACAGAGCCCTAGAGGTAATGTTCCTGCTGCTAAATTTATTTGTTTAACTTTTCAATGACTGTGTTAACAGAATCCACAAAATTCCAGGAAAAGAAACAAGTGCTTTCTTGAACTCATCAAAAATTGTTACTCTGTTAGTCAGCATGAATCATTAATGAAGTAGGGTTTCCCAAAAAGCATCGTAGGAGTGGTGGTGGTGGGGAAAGTATGCCTCTCCTAATCTCATTGGATTATAATTAGGAAAATGAGGTAAGTAGTACCAGATTTTGTAAGTGTACAAAAGGTAAAAACATGTCCAGGTCCTTGTTTCTTGAGCACATAATCACTTTATCACAACTTGTCAAGCACAATAAGAATTTTGTATTAGACTTCTATACAGCCGTTTATGTGGTATGTAAATTACCTGTACCTTTGCAGCAGGTTGAGCTTCAGAGAGGCTGAAAAGAGTAAGTACAGACATTGCTAGACTGTTAATATCCCTAGGTACTAGACCAAAGATAAAAGATACTAGAAGGTACGGTATATGGCAGTAGGACATACTTTTACACAAAGTGTCACAGTGTTGTATGACTGCACAGACTGAGAACAACTATTGGGCTGTTGTTAATAGTACTCTTACCTCTTTTCCTATAATCCAAATACAATGATAATTTGATTGCCTTGGAAAGATGTATTGGCTGCACACACCCAAAATAATTAAAAAATCAGAAAGAAAAGTTAGAAAACTTGCAAACTCTTGTCATTGGAGCTGCTCATCAGAGAGAAATCCATATGGCACAAACTGAGCCCTAGAATTTGAGACTGGTACATTCAGTGACCCATGGATTAAGAGGGATAAAAGCTGCCAACTTTATTGTCTAATCATTGGAACAAAATGGGAAGTAAATACAACTGGAAATCATTATGCCTTATGATTTTTTTTTAACTTCTTTTTCTTTGCTGAGTGTACTTGGCATAAATTTCACAGTTTAGAAATGGAACAAGTCTTAATAAACCATCAAATACATTCTTCTACAGTTTCCTAATGGACCCCTGTGGAGCATTCCCTGGTACACTAGCCTGTCTTTGTGTTCATGGAGTTTCCACCATTTTCTTTGAGAATTATCCTACATCTAATACATAAATTATACAACCTGGAACAAGTTGGGTTGCAACCTGTCTGCCCTTCTTATTTGGTCTGTTCTCTTTTTCCAGCCTGTTCTTCCCAGGAGAGGAGATTCAGATGCTAGGAATTTCTGGTATGAAAAAAGTTAGTACTTGCTGATCACCTCGATCTTTCTCTTCATAACACTGGCCGCTATTCAGTCTAAGTGCTTCCTACCTCCGTATTTGTCTCATTTCACATGCCCACATTTATTCCTCTCCTTTGTCTTCATCTGGCACTTGAACCAGCTGCTGCTTAGCCAAGTTAGGTGCATTACACATTTTCGTGTTTCCTCGTAAGCAATCATGTCAGCCCCTCTGTGTTGCTGAGTGCTGAATTTCCTCTGATTTTCCTGTATCTGAGCATCAGGAGCTTCCAGAAACAGTATCTGAAACTGCATAGTAATCCTATGCAGGTTTTTGAACTGCACTTGGGCAAAGTATGGAACAGGGAAAGATGCAATTTAAATTTAAAATGGCCAATTACTTCAGCAGCTGCATTCAAGGTCCTCACAATTCCACCACCACAACATGAGCATCTGAACCCAAACTACCCTTTGAGAGCTGAAGATGGAAATGATCAGTGCAACAGAGTGCTATAGGCTCAGGGAATATCAGGGTCAAGAGGTCCTTTTAAAGACCAACAAATAAATATCTGTAAGCTCTGACACACCAACAGATCTCAGCTGCTGCCGGACCGTCAGCCTTTGAGCTGGACTTTTAAATGAACTGGAGCTTAATCCAAATATGAGGCGCTCCAGCATCTTCACCTTGTAATAGACACAATGCTGCAAGTAGGCTATTTTGTGTCCTTTAAGTGATGCTTCTAGTAAGGCTTAGGTAGAAGGTGGGGGGAAGATGTCTCCAACTACATTTCAGCAAGGCAGAGTGGGCATAGTAAAAGCATGGCTCATTCTTTAAAGTCCACAGCTCAGAAGAAAATGACTGAATCTCCTCCTACGAGCAAACCCTATCTCCAGCCTTTTTTTTTGCTCTCATTCGAAGACAAATAATTACTTTGGTTAATGATAGTGAAATTATGTCACTGAATTACTGAGAATAAAAGAGCATCTTAGCTGGTGTATGATGAAAGGCATGTACGTACACTGAGAATACTTTCCCTCTCTCAAGACTAAAAATAATTTTTTTAAACCTGCTTAAACTGAACACAAAAGGAAAGGAATCTTGTAGTTGTGAGCATTTACATGATGTCCTCAGGAAATGCACTGCTCAAATAATGTCACTGCAGCTCAGATATGCCAATAAAAAAAAAGAACTGTCATATAAATCTTTTTGTTTTATGGTAATAGCAGCTTTCTTGCCAAAAAGTGACTCTTAATTTTCTGTTCTATTCCATTTGTGAATTTGTTCACTTCTCCCAAGAAAACACTAAACCAACATGAGTGTCAGAGTGTTCCCTGTGAGGAACCACACCCCACACCCGTGGTGATTTCCAGCTGGCTTATGCTAGTGTAAATATGGGATAACAGTGCCAAACCAGGTCTCACAGCCAGATCCTCGGTGAATATAAACCAACACTTCAACCAACTGCTGTGACTGAGAATAGGTATCTGTCAGTAAATTACTTTCTATTATGCCTTACAGGGCTCTGCCACAGAGCCCCTCTAAAGCCCTGGTTAATATGGGACTCTATTTTCCCTACCTGCGGAAAAAGCTTATCTGCATGAAGCACAGTAAGCATACTAACACATGTCAACCACTTAGTGCTTATTATTCAATGGCACCACAAGGAACACCAGGTTTATACAGCTCTGGCTGGAATTGCTATACCACCAAAGAAAGGATCAAGATATAAGCTAGACTGAAACTAATCTGACAATACTATTACCAATGTCATATTCTGTTTATTGGCTGCATGAGCACATGAATTTGACAGTTAACACCAATTCTAGTCTATTTTGAGTTAGCCTTATCCCAGACCTACTCTGTATCAAAATATTCCAACATTACCACATAGGACTGTAATGCCATTTCTTGCATTTTTCTTGCAAAAGAGAAAAACGGCATGAACTTTGTGCAGGGCCTGCTAAACTGTCATAGTAATTCTGGGACACTGCCCAATGGAAACATTTTCTATCAGCTGAAAGATAGCCAAGATACAATGGAAAGTTGACCCACCTCACCATTTCCATCAGAGTACTATGATGTCTCCAGCATACACATCCACAGGACCTTTAACACAGTCTTCTTAACATGACCTTTGTCAGCCTCTTACCTCCTCCTCTATCTTATCTCCATCTTTTCCCCCACAACTAGATTTACTGTCCTCTGTACACTCTACACTCCTCTGAAGGCAAAATGATACTTGCAGGCCCAGGAAGGAGGTGTGGATATTGAGGACACCCCAAGCAGAGAAGGCACCTCTTCCAGCCTCTCTGCTCTCCAGAGGCCTGCGAGGGGAAGATAACTGTCAAGGACTGTAACACTTTTGCCATGGATAGCTTTTTTCCTGCCTGGTTGTCCCTCTGTACTGGAGATAAGCTTCCCTAGGATTTGCAGCAGTTGTGTTGAGGGACCTGGGCTACATGGCTCTGTGACAACCCCCACGGACACCTTAGGCCTGGGAAGGTGGAAGGGGAATATCCCTCGAGTCCTTCTCTGGGTAAGGAGGCACAAAACACATATGATTTATACAGACACACCTCATTCAGGGAAACCACAGGCTGCCTCTCACTGCCTGGCTCTTCCCCTATGTCCTCCCCTCTCTTTCCACATCAGCTGGCAACAAACTTTGATTAAGAATTTAGGTGTCTGAGATGATACAGTAGTGCTTTCTTAATTATTGCTTTCCATTCCTGTCTGTTTCCCCAGCACTTGTTTTATCTTCTCAGTACTTACCTTTCACCCTCTCTTCTCACTATTCACTTGGCAGCCTGATTAGGGCAAATTACCAATTTTCACAAATTTTATTATTGGGGTCACATAGACAATAGCAGAATGATTTTAAAAGATGTTTTATGGTTTTCCTATGAATTTTCTAGGGTTCTTACTATTTTTTGGAGGGAGGGGATGGGGTAGAGAACAAACAATTTCTGATTAGGGGTGACTCTTACACTTAAAATCTGTCCTACATTATTCATTGGGGCCTGTCCAGCATCTAATGAGGAGACTTGAAAAAGTGGAAAGAGTCTGAGGAATTTCAGCATCCTATTGTGGCCTCTGAGGGTAGGCCATATCCGGAGACCTGATGTTTGATGTGGATGCTCAGTGTTCAGGGATCAGGCACCTGGCAACTCTCTTCTGCCCTGTCAGCCATAGATTTTTATTTATGAATTTTCACTCCTGCTCCGAAGCTTCCCTCTATTTTTCTTCACTTCATCCTGCTGCTGAGCAATATCTAAGACTCTAACCAGAAATCTTCTCCCAAAGATTTTTCCTCTCCTTTTCTCCTCAGTGTCTCCTCAGTCCAGCATTGCTCTGAAGCCTCTTCACCCTTCAAAAAAAGTTAAATATTTTTGTTTGCCAAAGGCTCTGTGAGTCATAGAGAACATGACTCCTGTGGTATAAACAAAGTTCAAGGCTGAGGTTACTTAGTCTATAAGTGGAAAGCTCTCAGGCAGTGGAAACAATGGTAGGTCCAGCTGCCAGACCTCCCTCAGCAGACGCTGTCCCAAAACTCCTGCATGCAAAAAAGGTCACATTTCAGTCTCCGAATCTGAAGACAGCATGGTTCAATTTATTGGCAATATTTCTGGCTATACAGCTCTTCTCTCAGAACTAAATGTAAACTAATGAGTTTACATGTTATTAGCTAAGAATTTAATGATGGTAATTTTTGCTTTACTGGGTATTGCTGTTGGTTCAAGGCACATCAAGGTTGCATGAGTTGTTCTGTGGAGGCAGTGGAAGTCAAAGGGAATATCAATATGAATATCAAGGGAGGTATTGTCTTTTTGTTACATAAATACATGTGATAAGATCACACCAGCTGTTTACTATCAGGATCACTTACAGTATGGGGCCCTGGCTGCAGCAGTTATGAGATGTGGTTGTTCCTAACAGAAATTTCAAGACAAAAAAAAATGCAGTAGTATATTTTGTCACCAGAAATACCAAAACACATTTTTTTCTCCCCATTTTCCCAATAGGGTTTCCTCAACATCAACAGGAAAATATTAGCTCAAGTGTTGGGTAGGGCATTGGGTTGGTTATGATGCCTTGTACATATTTTAGTGAAGATAGTTTTCTAAGGACATACTTTAATCTTGTAACCAACAGATTGTGCTTACTTAGGCATATACCAAAATTAAACAAAAGAGATCAGCTCTTTTCCAGTAAGCTTTAAACCAGTTTCTTCAAGGATATAATTTTAACATATTTTTGGGATAAATGCCAATGAGATTTGCAGAGAAAGCTTTAAAGGCAAATGAGCAAAATGTCACTGCTGAATATTCTACATTTAAAAGTATGTATTTCAGGAAATTGCACAAAAAAAACCCCAAAAGATCAATGAGAATTTTTTAGAAGAGGTAGATCCCACTAACGCAAAAGGGCCCCAAAGAGCCTCCATCCCTATTGCAAAATATTACACCAGCAATGTGGATCAAGGATAAATGGCTTTATTCTGAACACTCCCTTGTATGTTGTATGAACATGGCTGTAGCAGCGACATGGCAATTATAGTTACATAAAACCCATTCTGTTATTTGTAGAGGTTATGATAATTTGGTCTTCAGGCCTGTCTGTGGGTCTGCCGGAGCAGATGGGATCTGAAAGGCACCGGTTAAACCTTTCTCTAGATTAACATGTGATTAAAAATTAAAGAGTCCTTGTGGCATCTCTTGTGGACACAGCAGATCTGTTTCCCTCCAGCCAGTTTGTGACAGGGCAAAGCTCTGTCATTCACTTTTGTTCTGTATCTACTGTGGAGCAGAAGTGGGAGTTTGTTAGATCATTTCGGTGTGTGGTGGTGGTGTTTTCCCTCCTATAACTTAAGAGGAAAAGCAGACAAGATGCAACTTTTCTCTAAACTGGAACCACGGGCTAAGCACATCACAGGCTCTGTTCTCTTGCCTTCCAACATGCTTCTCTGCTCCACTCCTCTCCTCTCCCTGCTCCCACAAACATATCTGTGGCTTGGTTTAGTTATTTATTAAACAGCATTAATTAGATTAAGATAGTATCTCTCACAGTGATTTTTTTTGGCTGGAAAATTGCTGTCATGGCCCTTTGATGTAACAAAAACCTTCATTTTAATCCCCTTTTTGCCATAGCAAGTAATAAGCCATTGAAAAAGTACTGGAAGTGAACTTAAAGGCAACTAATCAGTCCCAAGTGCAGCTTGACTTCACTTTTCTCTGATGCTTACCTGACCTGTTCTTAAAACTCTCTAACTATATAGAGACTCTATAACTTTTGCAGTTGATTTATTCTGATGATTTACTTGTTATAAGAAGTTTTTTCTCAACAGATAAATTAATTTCTCATACTGCAATTGAAGCACATTATTTCCTGCTCTACCTAGTCTACACTTTGTGAGAAAAATATTCCTTTTCACTTCACAGCAACATACATGAAAAGTTACTTTGTCCCCATCCTTCCTGACACAGTACTTTTTTCTCTAGGCTAAGTTATTCCATTATTTCAAACTCTTCACATGGCTCATTTCTTCAAGAAGAAAAGATGTTGGAATTCCCACATGGAAATATAAAGTCTTCATTGGCAAGAACATGGTTGAATTAGTTACTCTATCTTTTTTCAGGAAAAACAGTTTCAGAATGCACTCTTTATCCACAGATTTCTTGCACTTATCAGTAATTCAGTTTTCAAAATAAAATCAAAACAAAGACACAGCTTTTAGACTTGCTCAGCCTGTTAGATTTGGCATCTTTCTTTGCCAGTGACTAAGCATAGCTATGTTACTGCTTGACTTTGATTACGTCTCAGCAATAGCTCTACAACATGAAGAAAGCAAGAGTTTTTAGAGTATAAATATCCCAATACTAGATCAATCTCTAGGTTAGAAATAATCCTGGATTTTTCAGAAAACAATAAGTTTGATCTTGGCAGCATGCATGAATACTGTTTTCTACAATCTCCAGTTGGCTGGAGACTCAATCCCATCTGGACAAATGCTGATCTGGCTTTGTCTCTTCTTATCAACACTCCAGCACAGTGACCTGGCATGAAGCCACAGCCCTTGAGAAACTCCAGCTAAGAGAAGAACATCTCGAGTCTCTCCAATGATGCAGTTGCATCAAACCTTCAATGCACTGCCCCGGGGAGCTGCACCAAGTTCAGCGTTTCCTTCATTATCTTCAAAGTGATCCATTGGCACTGGCAATTGCCTTGGCAATTTTAGATGAAAGATGGAGAAAAACAATAGGTACAGGAAAACTGGGCATTCTTATATGTTTGTGCACACATGGACACTGTGCCTTCAATAGGCTGTAGTGACTCTGAGGAGAAAAATAACCCACCACTCTTCCCAGCTTATATCAGTCAGTGACTTTTGGAGTGAATAATTTTCTCTGCATGTACTTTTATCAGCCTCCTAGCAAGCACATTTATGATCTCCCCTGTTTCAGGATGTCTCCACATATAATTGCAATCCTTTAGAGCAGCAGTGGGGGTAATTTTGCACCCTCATCTTCCCATGGCAATCATCATAAATACCCTTCACTCCTCCTCTTCGATAGTCACACAGGGTGAGTACTGTATGGTTTCTTCTTTTGGAAATTAACATACCATAATATTTTGATCCACAAATTGCACAAGTGAGTTCCTAGCTATGAAGTTTTAAAACAGTATGTCTTTTAATAAGGTGCAATTATTGGTTATTTCCATTTTAAGTTATGTCTTAAACTTGGACTTCTGAATTGCTCCTTTTGCTACAGAATAAACGACAGGGGCAAAATAAGAAAAAAACCATTTATTTTACCTAGTTTCTTCCTGCAGGAACCTCCAACTTTGCTGCTGAAATCCTCCTGAAGCAAGAGTTTATGACAAAGCAACCTGCCTAATAAGCCAATCTGAGTGAAGAATACTGGAAACTAATCTAAAGGAAACTAAAGGGAAAAAATACTCTGGTTTATCTTAATTTTTGGACAAAGACTTTAATAAAACTGCAATCTCTCAATGAAGCACATTCCAAAGGGTTCTGCTAAGCTTGAGCATGCCTCAGAAAACACTGATGCCTCTTGGAAAATATTCTGGGTTAGAACAATTACAGTTCTACTATATTTTTCCTGAGTTTCTCTTATTTCCTTCTCTGCCATGAAAAACCCCAAGTCTTTTCTGAAATGCAATCATCTGCTCCTGTGGCTTAAAGAATACCTGAAGTTATAATGCTTGGATTATGAAAAAGCTATCAGTCCTATAGTTGATAGTTGCACTTCAAAACACAATTTGGGCTCTTTAACACTCATCAAGATCAAGAAGTGGAAGATGTTCAGGGTCCATAAAGTGACTTTCAGCCCTGTATAAGCACTTATATTTCCCAGGCACCACAGGAAATTTGTGGTTGGCAGGGTTGGCTTGACAGGCAAAAGCCCAGCAAAAACAAACAGTTAATACATCTAATATTGCACCTCCTATAGGTCCGTTTGGAACAGAAAAGGAAATGCTCCTAGTACCTCTTCTTCTTCCCTGGCAAGTCTCTCGTGGATCACAGTGTTACTGGCAAAGTTTGGTAAGACATTTCCTATTTTACCCTTTGGGGTCATTATTCCAATACAAAGTTAACCAGCCTCTGGCTCTATGTTCTCTCGAGGTCCACATAAAAAAAAAAAAAAGAGCTTATCATCTCCTATTATAGAAGGCTACAAAAGAAAGTTTTCATTTGTGAAAAGGTTGCTTTTTTCAATTACAGTATAGCAATCAATTATAACAGTCCATCAGCACGTAAAACACTTCACAACAGACCAAGACTCCTGTTCCTAGGATTACCAGCATAGCTATGGTAATGGAAAAACATAGCTGTATAAGTAAGACTAGCACAAATAAACATATTATGCACAGGAAGATTTTTAGTTATATATTTTGTTACATCTTTTCTATTAATAAAACTTATTGAAATGCCTATAAATTATACTTTATATGATTTAAAATGCCCCTTTTCTTTGTGAGCTTGAGAATTTAATAAGGACCAAAACAGGGCACAACAGATGATCATGTTTCTCCCTTCACAGGACTATGTTGTCTTGGAACTGTAAGGCCCCAGATCTCCAGCTTACTTGTATCCTAAATGAAATCAGCTTGTAGTGAACCTTATTTCTCTGCATTACAGCTATTAGAATTTGTAACCAAATGGACCAAAAGTTGCTTAACAAATTCTTTATTACATATCTATCTTCTGGCCAAGTTTTTCTCAAGGTGAGCCTGCACTTCAGTGACTGCAGTACAATAATTAGCTTAGGATCCTACCACTGTAGCCATGGTCTGGCACCCAAGTTCAATTAACCTTTGCAGCGTTCCATGCTGCTGCATTAAACA